TTAAATCAATGGGATAGTGAAGAATCTGACGATGGTAAGAGAAAGAGGAAAAAAAAGAAAACGACCAAGATGAAAACCCTTTCATGAAAAGCAGAAAGTTAACTAGGTCTCCACCTAAGAAAGATTGCGATAAAACCGAATTGAAAGAAATGATGGAAGTTAAAGGAATACGAAAAGACCAGCAGATTTTTCAAGAAGAAATTAGCAATTTAAAAAAAGAAAATCGCGAGTTGAACGGAAAGGTAAATTTCCTGGAAAGCAGGATCGAAAAGATGGATAAACAAATCCGGAAACAAAACATTGTGATCAAAGGACGCGATTTCAAAGAAAATGAGGAACTGGAAGATGCCACCAACTTTATAGCAAGTCAATTGAATGTGAATGTGAAAATAAAAGATGTGCAGAAAATAAGAACCTCCCAAGGGAAACCACCAGTGGCGATAGTAAAAGTAGATACAATGAAGGATAAAGAGCTTATTATGAAGAATAAGAGCAAATTAAGAGGAACGCGGTATTTCATTGAAAACGATCTAACCCAAGCCGAAGCCAAACTACAGAAAGAGCTAAGAGATATGGCGAGAGAAGAAAAAGGAAAAGGTAATGAAACAAAAGTCGGCTATCAGAAAATATGTATAAACGATGAATGGTGGAAATGGAACCATAGTACCGAAAAACTAGAGAAAATGAAAAAAAAACTGAGTCTACACAGGCACAGTGGTCAGGAAAATATGGAAACGAATAAAGCGCGGAATAGGATGATGATAGGACAATGGAATGTTAGAGGAACTTTTGAAGTAGGGGCACTAAAGAACTTATCAGATACGTTAGAGAAATATGAGATAGATATTGCAGCTATACAAGAAACTAAACAAAAAGGAAATTTCACCATGGATGTGGGGAACTACGTGTTTTTCAACAGTGGAGACAATGAACGTGTATTTGGGGTGGGATTTTTTATAAAGAAAACATTTGCCAATCTGATGATAGATTTTGAGGCAGTCACAAGCAGATTATGTAAAATAAGAATAAGAGGAAAATATAGAAAAATAACCTTTATAAATGTGCATGCACCAACAGAAAATACAGATGAAGACGTTAAAGATAGCTTTTATGAACAATTAGAACATATGTTTTACAAAATACCATCATATGACATAAAAATAGTTGTAGGAGATTTGAATGCCAAGATTGGCAGGGAGGATGTATACAAACAAATAACAGGGGGAAAAAGTAAACATAGAGATAGTAATCTGAATGGAAAAAGAGTAATAGAATTTGCTTTCGAACACAATATGCGAATTATGAGCACTTATTTTGATCACAAAGAAATTCATAAAGGTACCTGGATATCACCAGATGGACAAACAGTAAACCAAATAGATCATTTCCTAATAGAAGCCAAACATATGAGAGCCATAAAAGATAGCCGAAGTTACAGAGGTGCTGATGCAAATTCGGACCACTTTTTGGTCAAAATTAAAATGGAGCAAATAATACCCACAATTAATACCACTAGTTGTAAAAAAATAAAAAGAAATAACGGTGCACTACTTCAGGAGGGAGAAGTTAGGAAAAAATTCAGGCAGCGAATTGAAGAGAAACTGAAAAGCCAGACAACAGTAAATGATATAGAAAGCAGATGGGTACAACTAGAAGAAAAAATTCAAGAAGCAGCCAACTCAGTATTATCAAGAAACAGACAATGTAAACAAACGAATTGGTATGATGAGGATTGTAAGAAAGCCATTAGTGACAGAAATAAAGCTAGAATAAATAGCATAATAAGAAATAATGAAGAGAGTAAAAAAGCTTATGCCGAAAAAAGACGGGAAGCAAAGAAGATCTGTAGAAGGAAGAAGCGTTCAAGTTTAGAGCAGAAACTAGTTCGTATTGAAGAAGATTTTTTACATAAACAAGTCAGGAATTTCTACCAAGAAATAAAACGAGACCGAAACCAGTACAAAACCACATCAAGATATTATAAAGATGAAGAGGGGAATCTGTTAGGTGGAACAGATGAAAAATTAAGAAGGTGGGCCAGTTATTTTGAGAACATATTATTATGTACGGACGACCAAGATGAAAGAGAACAAACGCAACTACAACATGAAGAAGTAAGGGACACAGATGTAAATGAAGAAGTACCTACCAAGGAAGAAATTATAGAGATCATAAAAAACTTAAAAAACAACAAAGCACCTGGTGAAAATGGTATCATTGCTGAGTTTTTAAAAGAAGGTGGCGAAATGGTACAAGAAGAAATCGCTGAGTTAATACGCGAAGTGTGGATCAAAGAAAAAATACCCAATCAGTGGAAAGAAGCAGTCTTATGTCCAGTGCATAAAAAAGGAGACGTTACAGAATGTAAAAATTACAGGGGAATAGCTCTACAAGATACAGTGTATAAGATTTTGGCCATATCAATTAGAAATAAAATTAAAACAAAAGTTGAAAATTGTCTAGGTGAATATCAAGCAGGTTTCAGAGCAAACAGATCGGTAACTGACCAAATTTTTACAATGAAACAAATTTTAGCTAGCTCATATGAATTCAACCTAACAGTACACATGCTGTTTATTGATTTTAGAATGGCATATGATACTATAAAAAGAAATAAAGTATATGAAGCACTAGAATATTTTGAATTTCCACCAAAAATAGTAAGACTGACTAAATGCATACTCAATGATACTAAAAGTAAAGTCATGTTAGAAGGACGGGTTTCGGATAGTTTTATCACCAATAGAGGTCTGCGACAAGGTGATCCGTTATCAACAGATTTTTTCAATTTGATCTTAGAGAAGATTTTACGAGAATGTAACATCTACACTAGAGGCACAATATATCATCACAGACATCAATGTGTAGCATATGCAGATGATGTTACCTTAATAACAAGGAGACCTGCAGAATTAAGAGAAATCTTTATTAGAATAGAGAGAATAGCCAGAGAATATGGTTTAGAAATAAACGAAGAAAAAACAAAATATATGGTGATGAGGGGAAACGAAAATCATCTAGGAGAGTCCTTTAAGGTACAAAGCCCAAGTAAAGAATATAACTTTGAAGTTGTTAGCCAATTCGACTACTTGGGAGTGACACTAACAAATAGGAACGAAGAGAACCAAGAAATCATAAAAAGAATGGCCAAAGGTAGTAAGAGTGCTGGGAGCCTGACTAAGATACTGAGGTCGAAGATAATATCCAGAACAGCAAAAAAACGAATATATACAACAGTTATCCGACCTACAGTACTCTATGCTAGCGAGACCTGGACACTAAATAAAGATATGGAAGTAAAATTAGATAGATGGGAACGAAAAATTCTTAGAAGGATATACGGAGGTGTAAAAGAGGGGAACATCTGGCGAAGAAGAACGAATGAAGAAATAATGCAAATATATGGACAACCAAAAATAACAAGACTCGCGAAAATTCAAAGATTAAGATGGCTCGGGCATATAGCAAGAATGAAGGAAGGAAGAGTTCCCAATGAATTAATAAACACGGAGGCTGGTACAAAAAGAAAAAGAGGCCGCCCCCGAAGAAAATGGCTGGAGTCGGCAAAAGAAGATCTGAAGTCGCTGCGGGTACAAGATTGGAAAAACTTAGCACAAGATAGAAAGAAATGGAAGAAAACCGTTGAAGCCTTGGGCCTTTGAGGCCTGTTGAGCTGAACTATATATATATATATATATATATATATATATATATATATATATATATATATATATATATATATATATAAAGACCAGGCTTCAATCTTCGATGGCAAATGAATAAATGGAGGGTCCCGTTCCGATGCAACCAGAAAGAGAATTTTATGCATGAATTGGCAATGAAATTTGTAATCGAAGTACTAAAATCAGTCAAATCTGTCGCTGATAAGGTATAAATTATAAATAGTCAAATATAGTCATTTATCAGATATTGCATCCAGTTGGATAAGATAATTTTATTTTCACACAGTAATTTATTATAACATTATAAACTAAATGTTAAAAATTCAGATATTTATGTAATGAATCGTGGTTTCCATAAAGATGATGATGGTATTTTTTTAGTATTTTATTTATACATTTCTCTTTCAGGGGATATTCAGTTATCTTCCATGGTAATAGAATTATGGGATATAATTTTAAATTATCTTTATTTTCAAATCCCATAAATCACTTTGGGAGTATTTGGCACACATTGTCTTACCTATGTTTGGTACGAACCTTTAATTTTGCCTTAATTTGGTTTGAATGATCTACCTTAAGTTGGAGTATTTGAGATTATCTATCCATACTACACTTATACTCATTTGGCTTGGTATTATCAAGGTGTAAATTAAAATATTATATAAACAAAATAAAATTACAACCGTAAAAACTATTTGCAAATAATGTAAAATAATCACTTAAATACTCCCATTTTCGAAAGTATTTTATAGAAAACTTAGAGCACAATAAAAAATCTAAAAAAATATCAATCAATAAGTTTTTTTTAGATTTTTTAAAAGAGTAGATTCATATATAGAATTAAAAAGTTCTATCATTTTTGAAAATATTTCTATTTTGAATTCTATCTTTTGACCACCAATGACCATGATTTTTTTCAAATTTTAAAACGAATCGATTCTTCTGCAAAACCAATTAAAAAATTACTCACGCTTTTTAAAAACTTACTGGAATATAAAAGGAGTACAAAAGAGTATAGTGTAATGGACAGTGAGCAACTCCTCTCTTTGGCTGATATTTAAGTTTATAGATTTAAATTAAAATTGAACTTAAAAAAAATTAAAATAATACTTTACATGCATAATGATAGTTTACATGCATAATAATACTTTACATGCATAATGATTTTAAAAAAGTTTAATTTATAAAGCTTAAGAGAGAGGGTCTGGCGCTTTCCGTTTAGAGTCAAGGTCGGTACCTTTTTTTGAGCGACTCTGGATACAGATATACAAAAAGAATACAACTAATACCGGAACATAATTTATATTTGATACATACCTATTTGAATTTGATCGAAATAAGTCAATATAGATTTAGCATCAGTGAATGTTTTTCCATTGACAACGATACTTCGTGGTTCCTCAAATACTCCATCTCCACCAAAACTGACAATGGCGTAACTGTAAAATAACAATAAAAAATTAGTTCAAATGCTGGCTGGTTTCGGTATTGTCTTAAAACTGTAATAAGTGATGTGAATGTTTAAAATTGTTATAGATGACAGTGGAATAATATTTTTCAGTAAGCTTAAGCGCCTCGACAACTAAGGACATCACCACGGTACAGTTAATTTTTTATTAGAGATCATACAATAGGTATTAAATTTTATTAAAAAAAAATAGTGTTTTTAAGAAACTGTAGTACTTTGGTGTATTCACTTGGCTAGTTTAGAATATCTGCAACCGATGTCTTTAAGCTATTATTCCGGGCATAGCTGTTGTACTGTTGGCAGTCCGTTAATATATAGTTTATTAAAAGAGCACAATTGAACTGTTGACATGTTGTACGTTCATCGGTAAAAGTTAAGCAGCCATGTGTCAATGGCAGCAGCCTTGTATGGCCGCTTCATAATCTCCTTATTATCTGCGATTCGTTGAGAATGAGGTTAGTAAGATATGGCCGGGTATTTTAGATTGAATTATGTGTAAGGCTAAATTAGCCTTTTATACTTAGCTTTAAGGGTTTTGCTTAGTTATATCATTGTTTATCTAATTGATGAAGTAATCGCTTCTTTAAATAAATCTGATAAAAATGAACCTTACGATTAGAGAACACAAATGCACAATCTTGGGAGTATATGCAATAAATGATGGCGCACCAGTACACATTAAAAGCAATTTTTTTTGAGAAATTAAATTTAGAGTTTGCAAAAGTCATATCTTGAGAAATTATTATCTTGGGAGACTTAAACAGCAGAACTGAAAAAAAACCCTAAACGCAGTTATAGGTCAATTCGAAGAGGACCACGTAAATGATAATGGTACCAGACTAATATCATTATGCAAAATAATGAAATATTAATTTCAAATAAATTGTTTCAACACAGAGACATACACAAATACACATGAACGCAAAATACGAGAGGGTTAAAATCAATCATAGACTACACACTCATACGACAAAAGATAAATATGATTGTACAAGATGTAAGAGTATTAGGAGGAGCTACCTGTGGAAGCGATCATCACTTATTAAAAGCTAAGATTACATTTGAAGTAAATAAACCTAAAAAAGAAAAGGAAGGAAATGAAAGGGACAAAGTAATACAGAAGCGGTAGGTATAACCTAATCAGCTTAGAACAAGAAAGTGTGAAAGAATTAAACAGAAATAGATTATGTAACAATAAAACACTGAAAACTTTGTTTTCAAACTCCACAAAATTTATTTTAAATATTATCACTACAGCTGTTTCGGCTGATTGCCTTTCTCAAGTGATCTATTTTGGCTTGGGTTTACAAATTTATAGTCTCTAATGAAATAGGTTGAGGAGGGGAGAACTGTTTGTCTCAAGTTGGTCATTCAGAATTATATCTGTGTTTTTTAATTTGTTGATTACCATAGATTCTAACAAAGATAGCTTAAGGCCTTTATTTTGAATGTGAAGAATTTTAAATTTGTCATTAAAAGAATGATTATGATCTAGAAGGTGAAGTGCGTATGTCGAATCTGTTTTTCTATTCTTGAAAGCCCTTTTATGTTCTGCTATTCGTTTGTCAAAGTTTCTACCAGTTTGACCGATGTAAGTTTTTGGGCAGTCGCCACAATGAAGTTTGTACACACCACTATTTAAGTGTTTTTTCTTTTGGCTCTTGTTATTTTTATTATATTTGCCTAGGTTGTTATTTGTTCGGAAAGCTGGTGTTATTCCTTTCTTTTTTTATGTGTTTGGCAATTTTTGTTGTTATTTTGCCTGTATATGTAATCGAGCAGAAGGTACTGGGTTTTTTCTCTGGTGGTGGAAATACTAATTTCAGGGCTTTCTTGATAGTTTTTGATTTAACGTTTTATTAATTGTTTGTTCGTTGTATCCGTGATTTATTGCTATCTGCTTAATTATATTTAATTCTGTCTCAAAGTTGTAGTTTGACATCGGAATTTCTGTTAATCTATGTAGCATACTATAATAAGCTGCCAGTTTATGTTGTGTTGGATAGGATGACGAATTGTGTATAGTCGTGTCAGTATGGGTAGGTTTATGAAATATGGAGAAGTCATGTTTGTTTTGAAGTGTGCTAATTTTTAAATCTAAAAAATGTATGGATTGATTTTGTTCTGTTTCTATTGTAAATTCAATATGACCATGAAGTGAATTAATATATGATAAAAATTGGTCGAGTTGCCTATTAGTTCCTGTGAAACATACCAGTACGTCGTCTACGTATCTCCACCAATATAAAAACTGTTTGAATACGGGATGTTTTGAAATCTTTGTCTCTAGATGATCCATAAAAATATCTGATAGCAATGGGCTTAGAGGATTACCCATTATAAGTCCTGCACTGTTGTTTGTATAAATTTTATTATTAAATTCAAAGTAGTCCTGGTTTATGCAAACTTCAAGAAGGTGTAAAATTTTAGATGTAATTATTGGATTTGTACTATTTTGGTCTAAAAGGTTTTTTACTACAATAAAAGTTTCTGTAGGAGGGATACTAGGAAAAAGATTTTTTACGTCAAATGAAATTAATCTGGAGTTGTTAGGTAATTGAAAATGTTGTATTTTATTAACTAGTTCTATTGTATTTTTTATGGTAAATTTAGGTGAAAATTTAGTGTGGTCTAAAATAATCTCTAACAATTTGTTTGAAATTTTATATAACGGAGCTGTATAAAAAGAAACTACAGGTCTTATTGGGTGATCCGGTTTGTGTAGTTTAATGAACGAATATAATTTAGGAGGCTGTGGGTTCATGATACTGAGGTATTTCTGTTCTATTGGATTTAGTATTGATTTTGAATTTTCTAACGCTAGTTTAATTTGTTTTTGATATTTTTCTGTCGGATCTTTGTGTAAAGTTTCAATATTTTGATTATTTAAGAATTCTTTTGTTTTGTTATTATATTCTATTTTATCTATAGCAATAGTATTATTACCTTTGTCTGCTTTTGTAAACACAATGTTGTTTTCTATTTATTTATTTTTAATTGAAATTGATGTTTTATTCTCTTTGTAACAGGAATTCTTAGTTTCACTACACACATCTGTAATAGATTTGGCAATTATACTTTTTTCGATATTGTTAGCAATTTTGTTAAACGCTACTTCACATTCTACACCTAAATATTATAAACTTCTCTCATTATTATGTTGGGGCAAGTTGTGTTTAAATCCTTTATAATATTGAAATATATTCTATTTTTGGTAAGATTTGATCGTTCACTAAAAATTTAATAAAAGTGCGACAACATTGTCGCATATGTCGTTTTCATTGACTATTTATGTAGTGTGAAAATCACTTATTGCATTTTAAAAAATATATATACAGGGTGTAATATTTAATACGAATCCCTAAATTAATTTTTCCAAAGCCAGTCCTGGAATTTTTTAGTTTAGCTAATACCAGTCGAATGCTTGATAGTAGTGTACTGTATAATGCAAAAATTAAAAAAGTCAAATGAGCCGTATAAACACTACAGTAAAATGAAATAAATGGTCAATTACACAAATCACCCTGTTAATTAATAAAGAAGAGGAGTTGACATTTTTTAGTGGCCACATGATATGCTCTCTGAGGGACTCTACATATGGTAGAAGTATGTAAAGTTCCTCATGACTCACCCTGTGTATATATATATATATATATATATATATATATATATATATATATATATATATATATATATATATATATATATATATTAAGGTTTATCCAATATTACCAAATCTGTAAATATACTTTTATTTTTTTATTTAGTAAGTGATACGTACATCCTCAATTAATCACAAATTCTTAGTTGTTCACTGTTTCACTATTAATTTCATATTTACCCATTTCAGTTATCAAATATACCTTACACACTTTATTAATTATTTCAATAATCTTATGTGACCCTTCCTGCATTTGTGTGAAGTTGCTTCTATGAATTTGTTTGTTGTTATGTATGTTTCTCGTACTCCTATAACGGTTACCTCTATTTGCATTATTTTCTCTAAGATCATCCTGAAAACCTTTTTGACTCTGAAAATTTGATCTGTAATTATTTGTAAATCTTTTAGGTCCTCTTTTCCACACCTATAACAAGATGTGTCAACATTGAAAGCAACTTCAGCACCAGCTTCTCGACTTGCTCTTGCATCCAGGCACCCGTTTTCTTCTTCACTTAATAACCTGTTCTTTACCTCTTTGTATGATAGTATATCAGATAATACATTATTGATAACTGTTACCATCGTTTTATAGGATTTTTGAGAAGTTAACAACACATTACATATTATATCTTGATCTTCAATTTTTATTCCTGTGGATTTTAACTGCTTCAGAATTTCCCTAAATTCACCAAGAAATCGCTATAATGACTCACCCTCTTTCAATTTCAAGGACAGCAACTTTTTTTTAGGAACAATTGACCGGTAGTTTCTTTTTCTCATATTTTTATTCTAAACGTTTTCATACATGGTAGGCCTGTTATTTGTCCTGCAATATCTCTAACTGTGCACCGAAAATACTATGAACAATTATTGATTTCCCTTTATTGTTGAATTTTTGGATTTTTTTTCATCTCACTCTCGCTTAAACTTGTTATGTCTGTTTCGCATTTTATACACCCTAATACTTCATTTTCTGCCAATATTATTTTCATCCGAAACTTCCATGATAAGTAATTCTTTCCTGTTAGAGCCTTAATGTTATACATTTTTCCTTGTGCCATACTGTACACGTGCGTAATAAGCTATATCCATTTATTGATAGAGATAGTGCAAACACTAATGACCACGGCGTAGTAGACGAAATTTGGTTAGTCCCCACTTTCATGCGAAACGCACTCTACTATACACTGTATAATTCCACTTACAATAGAACGTTTCTGCCTTTACGTGAATTTTTACTCCGCCTTCGCGCAGCTCCATGGTCAGGAGTGTCTGCACTATCTTTACCTAATAATTATTTTCCAACCGTGAACTGGACACGAAGCTTTATTTTCTTTTATTATCTACTCCAAAATGAAATTTGATAAGTTTACACTTATTGAATTTAAATAAAAAAGACAGTGTTTATTACGTCGTTACAAGATTCATCAATATTAATTACATGACTATCAAAAACAATTTTAAATAAAAATGGTAGAAATCATATAATAAGTACCTGTTATTTCTAATCTTTAAGTCGTCCAATTCCTTCTCAATAAGCTCGACAAGCAAGTCGAAGTTTCTTGATTTTTTCAAATCTTTATTACACATTTTCGCTTCGATTATAAAAACGATATCTGCACTTTGTGGAACATCGCTTCCCTGTAATCGAATGAAGTCACCTTCTTGTATCTGCGTGCCATTTAGTAAATTACACCTAAAACAAGAAAAACTAATTGCAAAGGTCCAAAAAAGACACTAAATCTCGGCCGAGGTTAATAGTTATTACATTATCTTGTCACTTTTATCTACGTCGAGACTATGAGGGGTCTAAGCTTTGGGATAGCCCCTTTATTTTTACTTTTAATCCTCAATTATATTAGCATCGCCTTTTACTCTAGTACAGAATAATATATTTATAAAAATACGTATTTTTAAATCAATAACAATTATGACACGTAAACTTTCTTTAATAATACTAGGGAAGAATTTAGACTTTGATACAGTTTATTATAATAATGTTTTTGACGGACCTCTGCAGGATAAACTAAATACGTATTAATAATACATTTTTCCTTAAAAAAGAACAATAAAAATACACTTTTGAAAACAGTAGAGAACAAAGATCTATGATATTATAAATATTATAAAATTTCCATGAACTGGATGACACAGCAAAAGTTATGGCATCTTTCAGTTAAACAGTTAAACATTACTAGAACCAGTTATAGAATATGTAGAAGCGGAAAAGCAATTGTTAAGATTCGATCAAGTAGTGGATCTATTCGACAATATACAAGGATCAAAAGACGTAATCCACGTAACAAAATTGTACTCCGAAGACTCTCGTGTACTTATAAAGTTTCTAACGGAATTACATCCATACTACATCGACAAAATAATGAAAACCAAAAGCATCAAATTAATACGAAAACTTGACAACCACATAGGTTTACTCCCTGCAGTGAAAACTTTGTCGGAAGGCGATTCTGACTCATTGGTAAATAATTCCTTTAAAGAATAATTACATATTTATTTATCTGCTGCAGTGGAACTTAATTGGGATTTATACCCATTTTGAAAAACTAAAACATATTATTTTTGAAACACGCCCATCTATTATCTGTCTACAGGAAACAAATTTCAAAAAATTCAAACCATGTGTATACATTTCGTAATTGTTCATGTTTCTTTAATAACAGATTAAACCAAAGATTGTTTTTGTGATGAATTAAGTTACTAAATGTCCTTTCACTCTCTCCATTTTTAAATATATTGTGAGTCTGTCTTCTTTTCTTTAAATTTCTAATTATTAGTTCAGTACCTTCCTCTTCTTTAAGTAACAATTTCATCAACATTTTTTCATTATCATTTTCATTATTTATAAAGTTCTTTATATTTTTAATCTACCCTAATAATCGACGTCTATACCTATTGATATCTACCAGTAACCTGACTAGTTCTAGAGAAACCATTAAACCGTTACCGACGACGTGTGACGTTAGCCGCAACGTACAAACGTCGACGGCCGCGGCTTACGTCTGTTCAGAGAAACCAGCGCCTAAACACGTTGTTATCATTTCGTAGTAATAGATTTCTAATATTAATGAGTTTTTAATTATTATATTAGAACAAATTTTTGAGAAAAAAAGTGGTGAAGTGGTTAAATAGATTTCACACTCATCATTTGTGAGTATTTAATTTACATCACAATATTAATAACTTCTTCTTAAGGTGCCTTCTCCATTACTGAAGGTTGGCTATAACTACAGCAAATTGCTCCCTATCTTGAGCTGTTTTAAGTATCGAATGTGTGTCCATACCTGCCCAGTCTCTTACATTCTTCAATCAGGAGCATTTTCTTGTTCCTGGACCTGTTCTTCCTTCCACTTTTCCTTCCATTTTAAGTCGTAGGAAGTTGTATTTTTCTCTTCTGTAAATATATCCTAGATAATTCGTTTTTCTGTTTTTCACAATATTTAGAAGTTCTCTCTCAGTACCCATTCTTCTTAGCACCTCGTTGTTGGTCACATGCTCTGTCCAAGAGCTCTTCAGCATCCTTCGAAAACCCACATTTCAAAATCTTCTATACGCCTCATACTTGTAATTCCGAGAGTCCATGTTTCCACTTCGTATAGGAAATATGGAATAAATAAACGTTTTTACAAATTGGTATCGGATAATCGGATATTCAACGATAATGTAGAGTTTATTAGGAATTTTTTTATTCGTTGAAATGCGGACCTAGCATATTCTATACGAGCACGTATTTCAATCTCGTGGTCAAGATTGTTTGTTATCCAGCAACCAAGATACTTTAACCTTTGTACTGGTTCTATATGTTTGTTATAGATATGAATATAAATGTCGACATTTGGTGCACGTGTAACAGCTTTTACTTTTGTTTTATTTGTGTTTATATTTAGTCCCAAGCTATCTCCCTCTCTGGTTATGACATTCAAAAGTCGTTGTAAACCCTCAGCATTTTCCGCAATAATGACGGTGTCGCCTGTGTATCTTAAGTTGTTTACATATTCTCCGTTGATTTTTATTCCTTTTTTAATATTTTCGAGGGCATTTTGAAAGATCTTTTCGAAATATATATTAAATAACAGTGGATAATGTACACAGCTCTGACCAACTCCTCTTTTTATTGGAAATTCTGCTGTCAGACGATTGTCTATTTTGATAGACGCCATTTAATCCCAATATAGTTTTTTAATAAGTGCTACAGTATTATGGTTTATACCATGTTGTGTTAGGGTTTCTATGAGTTCTGTGTGTTTTACTTAATCAAACGCTTTTTCGTAGTCGATAAAACAGAGAAACACGTCTTTTCGCTGATCTCAGCATTTTTGTAATAAATAATCTGGAGACCAAATAATGCCTCCCTTGTACCAAGTCCCATACGAAATCCAAATTGATTGTCGCTCAGGTTTCATTCGCATTCTCTGTATATTCGTTGATGTACAATTTTGAGTAAAATTTTTAGAAAATGGCTCATCACGCTAATTAATCTGAACTGTGAGCATCTATTTGCTTTATTTTTTTCGGGTATAGGTATAAATCTAACTGGTAAGCAGGTTTTGTATGTTTTCAATAAAATTGATAGTGTGTAAAATAATTTATTAATTAAGCTGAGTATACTTTCGACATAATAAATGTCATCATCAGAGCTATCCTAAAATAACGTTAAGTTAAGTAAATTTTTTATATATAATACAATGACAGAAAAAACTTACGTCAATTAGGCAATAAATACTTCATAGAAGGAAAATTGTGAACAAACGACATATTAAAAAACAAAGATCGGGCTCTGTAGGCCACAGATCTTGGGTCTAACCCTTATACATATCTATAAGGCAGGCACAAGGATTGGCAATGGGCAATCCCTTATCACCTTTGCTAGCAGATCTATTTCTGAATAACCTGGAGATTAATATCTTTGACAATCTTTCTCTGAATCAAAACTCTTTTCAAACAGTTTTATATTGGTTCAGATATGTGGATGATGTGTTAGCTATCATAGATGGAAATTCCTCAGATGCAGACAATAACCTAGTTTCACTTAACAACTTACATCCAGCTATAAAATTCACCTTAGAAACAGAATCCAACAATTCTATTAATTTTCTAGACTTAACATTAACTAGAATAGATAACAAATTAAATTTTTCAGTCTTTAGAAAACCAACTTAGACTGACCATACCATCCCTAGATCTTCTAATCATCCTTTTCAACAGAAAATGGCCTCCTTTTATTGCTATATCCATCGTTTACTTAGCTTACCTCTGTCAGATTCAAATTTTAAATCAGAATTAGAAATTATTAAACAACTTGCTTATAGTAACGGTTATACCCAAACAAACAAACAAATTGATAACAAACTCAACAAATTAAGGAATAAAAGGAATATATCAATAGCATACAACACTGTTCATAACATTTCTAACTCGACAGTTATTTATCGATCAATATCGTACATAGGTTATCCCTCAGATAATATAGCCAGAATCTTAAAAAACATCCCTAATCTAAAACTTTCTTTCAAAGTTAAAGAAAATATCAAATCTATTTTTTCCCACACTAAAGACAAAATCAACAAATCGTCAAAAAGTGGTATTTATAAATTATCCTGTGGTGAATGCCCGGTGACCTATGTGGGTAGAACAATGCGACCTTTGGATATACGCATTAAAGAACATCTGTCTAAGATTGATAAATCTAGTTTTGGGAATCATATACATGCTTCAAAGCATGGCTTTAGTCCTCATAGAGATAGCAAGATCCTACACAGTATACCTAATAATAATTATATAAAAATGAATTTACTAGAAGATTTTGAAATCAGTAGAGAAATGAAAAGGAATCCTCAGAACTGTGTCAACACTCAAATTAACTTAAATTGTAAGTTTGATCCAATCTTTAAGAAGTTTCTTTAATAATACATTTAGTATAAAATTATCCATCATTTGATCAAGCTTTGACCTTTAGTTTTAAAAGAAATTTAAAAGAGAGAATTTCTTGAATTTTCTTTCATTCATTTCATCTAAGTAGAGAATTTTTGATATTTTTCTTCTTCATTATTTATTTTATTAATAATATTGATAATCAATAATAGCTATTGAACTCTTAACTTAGCAAATGATACTTCTCCTTGGTTGGTTTTCATCTACTTTCTTCTACTTGGTCAAACTGTAAAGTTTTGTTTTTTGATAATATTGATAAATGTATATTTAAATTTGCACGTTGACTTATCAATTTAAAATATTAAAATTTAAAATTCTATAGTAACTAAAAGTAATAATCAATAACCTTCAGACCTCAGTTTAGACATTTTCAATTTTCAATTAATAATTTAAATACAGAGGTCGCTCTCGCATTTATTTCCGTATATCCAAGCTTCCTCTTTCATTTTACTTCAAAAATGTAAGTCAAAAACAGCTGTTGTCGTTGCTGTATGTGGTAACCATGTTTTATAAAAAATTTTTGATGTGAATTATACATATGTATAAGGGTTAGACCCAAGATCTGTGGCCTACAGAGCCCGATCTTTGTTTTTTAATATGTCGTTTGTCCACAATTTTCCTTCTATGAAGTATTTATTACCTAATTGACGTAAGTAACCCCCTCTGTGGCTCAGTGGTAAGAGCGCCTGCCTTTAAACCTAAAGGTCGTGAGTTCGAATCCCACCTGGGTGGAAATTTTCGTTTATT